GCTAGGGAAAAGACCAAAATGCCCTTAATGATTTCCGGACGGATTTCTTGTCAACTGCCCAACTTTCAAGGGCCATAATTCGCTCATACGAACTCGGAATTGAGCAAACTCGGCGGCGTTGGAAAGATCATTCCACAAGCTTCACAACCATAACTGGAACTACTCCTAACTCATCCTGAGCTGGAAGTTATGACTGCTCAAAGTTGGCCAAAAATCACTGATTTCCACACTTGGCCAATTTTCCAGATTTTCAAATCCTTTCCAAAAATGAAAATTTTCAAATTCTAAGCCTCTTCTTAGCTATTTCAAATTGTCGGATGTTACATTAGCTCCTAAACTGGTGAGATTTATGTAAGTTACCCCTTTTTTTACGCCAGTTTAATGTGAAGAGACTCATTAAGATGTCCATAATTAAAGTATATTCTTCATCGAACATTGAATTTTTACTCAAAGCGACATTCAAAATAATAAAACTATATTTAAAGGATATGAATTTAAAACTAAAGGTCATAACTATAGAGGATCCAATAATTTCGGAAAAATTATACACTAACTAAATTGAAGTAGAAAAAAAAAGTAATTTTTTTTAAGAATTTTTTCTTCTGAAAATATCCTTGCTGTCCGTGTCTACTTCAACCTCAAACGTTACTACATCTCTTACATAATATTTACAACTTACAATTCAATATTTGTTAGGCCTACACATATATAAACTTTTAAAAACTAATTTAATCAAATTTTCAACATACCAACAAAAATAACCAAGAACAACATTCTAGGAAGTCAATAAAAAATTGGATCAAAATTTTAAAAATAGGTGAGTCAAGCAAATGTGTATGAATTGTTCATGCTTCCCATTATCTCAAAACCTTAGTGGAACAGCATTAACCAAAAAATGGCAAAATCTTTGATATGTTTGGATTATTTAATTTTGAGAGCATCCAAATCATCAAATCAACATCTTAGTTATGTTATATAAACTCCTAACTCCTCCATTCTAAAACACACAAGAAAAAGAAAAACAAACAAATATCTGGCCTTAGAATCCAATTCTTCTCAATGGGAATTCAAATGAAGAAGCAATGGCTTCAATTTGCTTGTGCTTTGGCATTTTTCTTGATTGCCACATGCACTGTGGCCTATTCACCTTATTCTTATGAATCATCAGATTCAACATACAATAAAGTACCAACCACGGTAGTTAAAAGTGAAGACTTCAAGGTACCCTCAGAGTCGGAAAATGAATATAAGTCGTCATTTTTTTCAAAGAATGATTACTACAAGAAGACATCAGTTTCAGAAGATAATTATAAGAAAGTACCCTTGGTTCCCGAACATGAATCATTCTTGCCAAAGAATGACTACTACAAGAAGCCATCATTTTCAGAAGATAACTACAAGAAGGAATCATATGTTCCAGAAGTACCCTCGATGGCTAAACTGGAATATAAGAAGTCATTTTTTCCAAAATTTGACTACTTCAAGAAGCCGTTAGTTTCAAAAGATAACTACAAGAAGGTGTCATATGTTCCAGAGGTACCCACAAAGCCTAAACCGGAATACAAGGTACCATCTTTGCCAAAGAATGACTACTATAATAAGCCATCAGTTCCAGAAGACAACTACAAGAAGACGTCATATGTTTCAGAGATACCCTCGATGACTAAACCAGAATATAAGGAGTCATTTTTTCCAAAATTTGACTACTTCAAGAAGCCATCAGTTCCAAAAGATAACAACAAGAAGGTGTCATATGTCCCAGAGGTAACCACAGAGCCTAAACAGGAATATAAGGTACCGTCTTTGCTAAAGAATGACTACTATAAGAAGTCATCAGTTCCAGAAGACAACTACAAGAAGACGCCATATGTTCCAGAGGTACCCTCAACGACTAAACCAAAATATAAGGAGTCATTTTTGCCAAAATTTGACTACTTTAAAAACCCATCAGTTTCAGAAGATAGCTATAAAAAGGTATCATATGTTCCAAAGGTGCCCTCGGTCCCTAAAGAAGAATACAAGGTGCCTTCTTTGCAAAAGAATGATTACTACAAGAAGCCATCAGTTCCAGAAGATAACTACAAAAAGGTATCATTTGTTTCAAAGGTACCCTCAGTGACTAAAGAAGAATACAAGGTGCCTTCTTTGCAAAAAATTGACTACTACAAGAAGCCATCAGTTTCAGAAGATAACTACAAAAAGGTGTCATTTGTTCCAAAGGTGCCCTCAGTACCTAAAGAAGAATACAAAGTGCATTCTTTGTCAAAGAATGACTACTACAAGAAGCCATCACCTTCTTCTTCATCACCACCACCTCCATATTATTAAATTTCCATTTTTGATATTCAACATGCATGTTTCATTTAAGTCCTTCTCCAGCTCAACATATATAACCCAAAGGGTTCTCATATTATGAGTTAGAAGGCGTGATATCAAAATTGTAATTCTTTATTTATTTATATTTCCTTTTCCTACTTCGGTTTGTAATTGTTGTCATTTAAATTCTATAATTTTGAATGTTTCGAGAAATTTGTTTCAATTGACTACAAGTTCTTCTAATTGAAAGTTTATATAAGTATATATATTCATCTGGAGTAGTTGGACTTCAATACATATACTAGACACAACAATATGAGAAACCAACCATAAAAAAAAGTATATAGATTCATCTGGTTTTTCCAGCAATTGCCAATTTCTTCACATAAATTGAATAGAAAAACACTGGAACATAACAATTTGAGTAGCCTCCTTTGTTGGAGTAGTCATATTGTTGCTTCACTAGAATAAAAATAACTTTTAGCGGTAATAAATATTGACAATAATAAAGAGTGTTAAAATCCTTATCGGCATTAGTTAAGTTCCATTAGAACCAATATCGTTAAAGGTTTTAGGGACATATACAAAGAGTACTAATTGTTGCTAAAATATATATTTAGCGGCAATTAAGAATTAATTACCGTTAATGATCATTTTTGATGTAGTGCTTGTTCTTGTGAGTGGCATTGTTTCAGCCAACATTGTGATGGGGAACAAGCAATTGCTTAAATCATCAGATGGTGTTGGTGCATATAGTATATTATGGTTGATTCGGTCAAGGTTGCATCAGTTCGTGATTGGGAGAGACCTACTTCCCCTATTGATATTCAGAATTTTATCGGGTAATAATTAGCGGTCTATTATCATCAATTTTTTCAGAGCTTCTCTTCCATCGCAGCCTCGTTGACTAAGTTGACTCAGAAGACTGCAATATTTCTATGGACTAATAAGTGTGAGACGATCTTTCAAAAGCTCAAAGAGTTATTGTGTAACACCCCGAAAATTTCTAAGTTAAGACTCGAACCATTATTCATTTGTGAATAAGATTGTGTTGAGTGATTCTAAATTTTCTTAGGTGTTAATGTCAATTCTTGAGTGGGGAATGATTCTGGATATGAATTAAGGTCATTAGTATCCCCTATCATAAAGTTGGGTTGAAAGCTTTCATACTGATTGAGTTTCAATATGAGATTTTTTTAGGGTCAACTTCAAATGATCATATCTCTTAGCACATTAAAAATTAGGTTTCCCTTGACCTATCAAATTAAAGGTCTTTGATTCCTCTTTCCAACCCCGGCAAGTTTGCTTAATTTCGAGCTTAGAGTAAAAAGATATGCTTGTTTCAGTGAAACCTCTCTCTTAAGACACCTCAATCGTTTTTAGAGGGACAGTTTAGTCTTTTCCCATCCCTACTAAGCCTAGACACATTTTTATTCACCTAATTAAAGGTCTAGGCAGCGTGAAAACAATTTTTGATGTTCTTTAACATTCAGAGGAATTAGAACAAGGTTTCAAGAAGAGAAAAAAAACTAGGGTTCAAGCGTTCTTCAAGCTTCCATGGATTTCGCCAAGAACATTTGTTCTTTAAAGGTATTTAAGGTTTCTCACAGTGGTGGTTTTATTTATCCTCACACCCTACATCTCGATTTAGTCAAGAAATTGTTACATCTAAAGGATCCATTCGTAGTTCTTGATATTGAGTTTGGTTCTTTAACAATTGAGGTTTTTTTATTCTTTTGTTTTGTGAATATTATTATGTTGTTCATGCTAAGTATCACATGAACCCTATTGATTTGATAAAGTTATGTTTCCAAAGGAATTGTATGAAAGTTCTCATGTATTCGTGTTGGGTTTGAGAATCAAGAAGAGTTTAAGAGATATTTCCCAATTATAAACTAAGTTAGGGTCCTAATTTAAGCTTGAAAATTCGTCGGGGTGCTGGGAAAAGGCCTAGGGCTGCGCGTCATGATAGCGCCAAGGCCTGACTTCTGAAGTTCAGGCCCAAGGGCGACGCGTCAGCAGTTCGCCAAGACCTGACTTTTGAAGTTCAGGCCTGGGGCGATGCGCCAGCAGTGCACCAAGGCAATACTTTTGAAGTTGAGGGCCTGGCGCCTTGTGCCAGCAGTACGCCAAGGATTTCTCGGTCAATCTTTCCTTGTTTCATCCGGTTCGTGTTCCTTTAAGTTGTGGCCACATTTCCTTCTCTGTATTAGCTCTTATAGGCTTCATTTACCTTTGAAAATTCTGGCATATCCTAATCACATGTCTTAATGCACACTCAAAACTAAAGTGAGTTTAAGAGAAAAGTTCAAGAGCTTTTATTGAGTTGATTTGTTCATGTCTATATTTCAGCATGAACCCTATTATTTGAGTATTCATTAAGTTATTGTTGAGAATCTTTTTAACCGAACAATTATCTTAAATTGATTTTCTAAAAAAGTAAAGAGGAGTTTTAAAAAAGTAAAGAGGAGCTTTGAGGAAAGTTTAAAGAGACATTTTGAGTAAAGTTTAGGGAGCTATTGATCCCCAAATTTATCATTTTTACATTAAGAAAAGAGAAATTTTGATTTCTAAACGAGTAATGAGTTCAGAGTTATTTCAAAGCAGTTACCTCTTTTAAAAGGATATTTTGAGCAATTACCTCAAATTGAGAAAGAGTATGTTTTATACATTTGAGCATTATTATATATTTTTGGGAGTAGTATTGAGCACTGATATGGGGATGAGTTCAGACAACTCACATTCCTCATAAACCATGTAGCCAACATGGGTAAAAGATCTTACTTTTTAGACAATTCTGTATTGCTTTAGAGCAGAACTTTAGTATATCCACTTAGTTGAGGTGTTCTATACCCCGACAAGGTAAAGGACAGTTCTGGCAGCGCGGGCGAGATGTTGTATCATCACATAGCTCACAGTGATCGTTGTCGGTTAGAGAATCTCTCAAATTAGAGTAAAGAGTAATTTATTGTATTTTATATACATCCTTGCGTTGAAATCTACTATTTATGAAGTTTTAAACATTGCATCTCTTATTATTGCTTTTGTATTGAAGTTGAGTTGAGATGAATATTCTTCCAATCTTATCAGTTCAGTAATTTATGCATTCAGTTTTCCTTACATACTTGGACATTCAATGTACTGATGTCATTCAACCTGCATCTTATTATGCTACAGATATAGGTGTTCAGGGTCATCAACAGATGTTTTGTTGATCAGATCACTTTGCACTTCAGATAGCTTGGGTGAGCCTCCATGCATTCCGGGGGACTTCACATTTATTTTCTATTCAATGTCTTGAGATGTCAGGGTCTTATCCCAATATCAATCTTCAGTAATAGAGGCTTCATATATAGATAGAGTTGATGAGTCTTTCAATATTTACTTTTTCTTTGAGATGTTTTTGCAAACTATTATACTTATGTTATTGAGTATTTTACAGACAGTTTGAGTTGAGTATTTACTTGGAGTTTAATTGTTCATAAAATTCTGTTTTTAAGCCTTTATCGCTTGAGTAAGTCTTCCACTAAGTAGTCAACCAGGCCAAGGGTTAGCTTGGGGGACCATCAATGGTTCTCGAGTTCCAGGCACGTCCAAGGTGTAGGCTTAGGGGATGACAAACTTGGTATCAGAGCACATAATTCAAGTTTCATAGGGTGTCTATGAAGCCATGTCAATAGGATCTTATTTATGGTTGTGAGGGCAATAGGGGACTACAAACATTTAAGAAAAGTTTTCCATCTTTTATACTCTAAATCGTGCAATAGAACTATATCATAAGGAACTTATTCAAACTCGTGTGTTTCTCTAATCCATTTGACTACCCCTCATACTCAAGGTGGTTGAAAAGCAAAGACTTGATCCTTATCGATAAGTTACTCTAAGAAAAAGTCTTCAGAAAGTCATGAGATTACAGATGGGCTTGAGAGAAGCATGTGAGTGAGCTTAAGTGTTGAGATTCGAAAGAATGCACTCTTATTCATATGAATCGTGCGTTCAAGCTAAAAGCGAGATGTACTCCCTTCTCTAAACCTTGTTTCAGTTGAGCTCCTTATGAGAAAGTGTGTTTAAAAGCTTGGGTAGTATTTTCACCCGAAAAGATAGTATGTGTTGTGATGCATTCATCCTCATGCAGCATAACATTGTTCATGGAAATATGAGAAAGTGGAGAAATACTATCTTTTTTAGAAAGAAAATGTAACATTACGTATATCCTTGACCACGATCTAGGTGGCAAGTTGATAAGACATTAAGATTATGAGATTGGTATATGGACTGTGAGTCCCCTATGAATCCTTGTCTAGAAGCTAAATGCTCGGCAATGTGTATACGACAGGTTGTGCGACGACCTTGTGTTCCACCACATCATTTCATCATTCATTACATTGCATTTGGCCAGCTTTGTTGTGTTGTGTGCCTTAATTATTTGTATCTTTTCGTGTTAACTTTATTCACATTGTTGTTATATAAACTGGCGGCACCGATGCTGGGATGAGATTTTTTTGCGTGCAAGTGGAAGCGTTTCATAGTTTATTTTTTAAGTCTGTTTAATTGCTTATACTCAGTCGGTCTAACCGTACTTATGGATTGTACTCACCCCTACTTCTGTTGTCCCTTTTGATGTAGATCCTAGTCAAAGTGATCCTCGTAGTGGCTAATTGAATCTAACGGTTTCTTCTCTTTCGGAGTTGTGGTGAGATCCTACTTTTCGCATCGCCATTGGTTTTCATCTATATATCATTTACAGTCTTTAATTTCTTTTCGAAGACTTGAGATGTATTTCAGAACCTAGAAATGTATTAGATGCTCTTTATTTATGCTACCAGATTTTAAGAATTTCTTTGTTATTTCTTACTGGTTGTGGCCCGACATCCCTTTAGGAGTCCCGTATGTGTATTTCTTTCGGCTTACACACTATTTTGGGGCTTCGAGGTGTGTTTCATCATCACCTTGGCTTTTGAATTGTCACATAGAGTATTTATTCTAATTTTCTACTCTTGTTGATATAGTGAAATTATTCATGTATGCATGTGGATTAGGTCATACTGACTAAGCACTTTAAATTTTTCTTTTCCTTATTTCATTTACTTTCGTTGTTAGCAACTTACTATTATCTTTTTTATTGTCATCACAACATTGTTAGGATAAATTATGCACTATCCGAATTGTTGATCCTAAAAATTAGTATATTGGTGTTATGTAATATGCATTATATATATTAAATTTTCAATTATAAACATTAATTAGTCTCAACACAACATGCAATTTAGCAATCCATCAAAAATATTTTAAAAGGAAATTTTGACATATTGACCAAATTTGTTTGAATGTGGTGCGCGGTGACTATTCTGATAGGGGTGAATATTGTATTAATATAGTTTGTATAGTGTAAAATCGGAAAGATAAATACTAAGAATGAATCAATGATTAATATAAATTATTTCATTAAAGTAAAATAAGAAATTTCAGATTAAATGAAGTAGTCTTTCAATTTTAATTTTATGTTTGAGGTCGTGCTCAGCACAAGTATCACCAATGGTTACTACCAGAGAGGAAATTAAATTAAATATGAATATAAATCCAATTCATGTGTATAATATTAAAAGTTTCTTAATGAATTGCAATAATTGGCTTAACACCTCACATATCAGATTGTGAATTCTTTCAAATCCTATATTTTACTTGATTATTTTGAAATATAATTAATTAAATTCACCAGAATTAATATATTATTCTTTACTATGAATAAGTTTGATGTTTAAGGACATTGATTTTTTATTTTATACATGTCTTGAAACTACATAATGAATTTTAGTTCTCGGGTGATTTAACATTTAGAAAAAGAATAATTATAATTGAAGAAATTTATTTCTAAACTTCTGGTGGGAAGCACGTTATAATAGGACTTCACCTTTTGGGATTCAAGATTTTTAATTTTGACCGTAAAATTGAATTGAATTTTAAATTTCGAAAATAAAATCTATATATTGAAAAATTATATAAAAAACATACTATAATATAAGTTATAACAATATAATAGTTCAAAATATTTAGCAATTATACAAAAAAAAAAATCGTTTAATTGTTAAATCCGAACATTATCAATGGAACGAAAAAATAACTTTTTTTTCTAATTTATTGAGTGATTCTAATTTTTTATAGAATAATTATTAGAAACAAATGGGTATAATAATTATTTTGAGGGATTGGGGTGAAAAGCTTGAGGGATATTAATATTTTAAGGTTTGGAAATATTTTTTAACTCTTTAAGAAACGTGGAAATAAAAAAATGACTTTTATCAGAATAAAAAAGAAAACAAATCACGTTATCACGGAACAAATCCAGCAGGGTCATATATATTTTATATATAAATAAATAAATAGGAAGTTAAGATGGCTTCGGGAAATGGATTAATTATTTCATGATATACAAGGTATACCCAAGATTTGAAGGTGGCGAAACGTAGCTACAGAATCAGAATTTCGATTATGAAGGGTTAAAATATAAAGTTGAGAAGTGTCAATATGTAATATTCTTTATGTCTTAATTTATGTGATATTTTTTTTCCGAGAATCAAACAGTTTAAGTTTGACCGAAATTTTGCGCATGAAATCTTCAAGATATTTGAAATTTATTTATTTATTTATAAACTACGTGAAAAGTACTATAATTCACAATAATTGTAATTGAAAAATATTCACAATAATTGATAATTCAACATATTTAAAAGATATATGAAAAAATTTATGATCAAAGATAGATTTATTTGAATTTCAAAATGTGAAAAGGGTCACATAAATTGGGACGAAGAAAGTATATATGTATAAAATTTCTTTAAAGTTAACGATTGAGTACACGTGCACCCCCAATTTTCCACGTGTGCCTTCGTCGGAAAATTTTTGCGAGTATATATGATAAATATCGATATTTTCGGACATATACTAATTTTTGAACAACCTTGTGATACTAAAGAAAGATAGGGCAATGGTTAAGGCTGTTCAAAATTGCCTCAAAGGCCCGGACTAAGACGTTTTGTTTATTTCTTTTAAGTTTCATTTTTTAAGAGAACAAAAGTGACGTTCCAATTTTTTTAAATCTGACCAGCAAGATTTATTATTTTACTTGTCCTAAAGTATAAACACCCTTGACGAAAATTCTGGTTCAGCCACTGATGACAACCCTTAAACTTTCAATGGATGGGTTTGAACACATGACTAAGTGTTCTTATTAATTATATACACCTTTGCTCTTTGATTTTTTTGGCATGTTCTTAATTACTTGTGACATAGATAAGTTAACCACTTAAAATATACTATTTCTTTTCATTATATATATATATATATATATATAAAGTCTTAATAATAAGCTGTAAATCCCATACATGTTCCAATTGAGGATAATGTATATACTTAAAGAAGATGAAATATTTTAAGTAACTTAACTTATATATGTAATGAACATAGATCGCATACAAAAACAATTTTTATAATTTGAGCTAAAAATATTTAATAGAAAAACTTTATTATATGTACAGATATTCAATTTTATTGAGCCAACCATTAGCCAGAGTGTCAAAATGAAGTTTATCAACAAATTTTAAAAAGTATTTATGTATTTATAACTCACAAGAATTTGGAGAGAACGTGTGAACAAAAAGGTGGCAGGTGTGTACAGTTGTATGGAATTATTTACAAGTATATATCATTTTTAATTAAGTTTGACTAGCCACATTTATTATCTAAATAGAAATATTGGTGCAAGTACCATGTAATAAAGTATATGTGTGACCTTATAATTTTTCCCAAATATTTTATGATCTTGGACGATGTCATTCATTCTTATATACAATTTTCTCGATTTCAATTTATATGATCGTAGCTTAAATTAATATGAAATGTAAAAAATTAATGGTTACTATTTGTTTTTTTTTCTTCTCCAAGTTGGTTACATGACATTATACATATTAGTGTTTATAATAGCATATATAGCAACAAATTAGAATCTTAGGGTCGTAAGTGAAAAATGATTACGACAATTTTCATGCATGCTGATGGAGTCGATATCTTGTTGATGACTCTAGGTTTTCTTGGGGCGGTTGGCGATGGAGCTTCCTTTCCGGTCATGCTAATAGCCATCGCCAAGCTCATGAACATTATTGGTGGTTTGAATACTTCAAATGTCCTTAACTTTAGGCACAACATTAACGAGGTAAGTAAACAGTGAGACTTGAACGCACACCTATGGTGGTGCAAATTAATTTTGAAGTATATGGAGCGATTAATCCTCAGAGTTTTTGTTATTTGCAGAATGTTATGTTATTGATTTACGTTGCTTGTGCAAAATGGATCGCGTGTTTCTTAGGTTTGTCTAATCAATCTATCTCTTCCTAGTATAAATTCGATGTTAATTTTAATTTGTACGTTCTATCGTAAGGATATCTTTTATTTTTTTTATATTATGAATTTGTGATTATTATTTTGTTAGAGGGTTTTTGTTGGACAAGAACAGCAGAGAGACAAGCTTCAAGGCTAAGGATAAGATACTTGAAAGCAGTTTTAAGACAAGATGTGGGCTACTTTGATTTACATGTTGCAAGCACAGCTAATGTCATAGCCAGTGTTTCTGGTGACAGTTTAGTCATTCAAGATTGCATTAGTGAAAAGGTTAGTTTAATTTTGTTTTGTTTTTCATTTATTTGTCGTCGTATATTCTTAGACTTTTGAAGTTAGCACAAAGTTTCACTCAGACACTTTAACTAAAGACATATACTACAATTTAGACACGGGTTCGATTGTGTGATTTTGATACTTTTTGTTCATGACTTGACAAGTTTACGTGGTTAACATACCAAATAGGTGTATGAAAAACCCAAAGATTACAAAAAAAAAGTGTGTTTTGTTTTAAATTCTTTTTAATTTTGGATAGCAGTGAGATTCGATTTTAGGACCTCTGTCTGCTCTAATACCATATTGAAGTGTGTAATCATCTTATCTAAAACCTTAAGTTGTTAGAGAGATCACACTTTATTATTTAATTATATTTTCAACATGTCTTTCTTATTTTTTGGCCAGATTTAAAATTGTGGTTGTAGTGGTGCAATCCCCTAGCTGGAGATTGTTTTGAAGGGGAAGGAGAGATTGGGGTTAAGAAAAATAAAATAAAATATATATATATATATATACTTCTTAGAACTTTTTTGCTTTTAACTATTATTTCGGAATCTAAATGTCACGTGTCTCATTTAATTTGTACTTTGACTTGTCATTGACGAGTGTTTTACACATTCTTTACATATTTGATTGAGCCTGCGGAAATTGTTGAAATGACACAATCAAACCCTACTACAACTGTTTAAACTATACAAATCTTAGTTAAGGTGTTTAAGTTAAACTCGGTGCCAACTTTAGGTGTCTGGATACAACCTTACCCTTGTGAAATTTTTGGTCTCCTATTGAACAATGTTCACCTCAACAATCTTTATGAATCTAAATATATCATTTTGCTAATTTTTCATACTAATGAGATTCAACTGAACCCCTTGCGTCCACCTAACTTTTGTCCCCAAAGTCTCATATTAATATATGACAATGTTTTATAATATTGGAAATAGGTACCACTTTTCTTGAGGGACGTATCAACTTTTATTGGTGCATACGTGGTAGGATTCTTGATGATTTGGAGGCTGGCATTAATAGCATTTCCAATGGTATTTTTGTTGATGATACCAAGTATGATTTATGGAAGGGCTCTTATGAGAATATCAAGAAAAATGAGGGATGAATATAGTAAAGCTGGAAGTATTGTGGAACAAGTGATTTCTTCAATTAGAACAGTGTATTCCTTTGTTGGAGAAAGAAAAAGTATAGAAGATTATTGTGTTGCACTTGATGGATGTGTTGAATTGGGAGTAAAGCAAGGTTTAGCTAAAGGATTGTTCATTGGAAGTAATGGTTTTGGCTTTGCAATTAGAGCTCTCATGTCTTATTATGGTAGTAGATTAGTTATGTACAATGGAGCTCATGGTGGCAATGTCTTTATGGTCACCCTTGCAATTTCCTTGGGTGGAATGTAATTATCTCTACCCCTTTCTTTTTATATTATCACTATTGCTTAACATGTTCTAATCTAGATTAGTTATAACACTTTATATTATAATAAGTAGGAATAAGACACAAGTATCCCCTAGATTATGATCGAAATCCTAGAGACACATCTTAACTAAACTAAGCTCATATTACCACTCCGAACCCTTTTTTTTTATATATAATTTTGTACACCTTTTTGGCTTACATGACATCCAAACATCTCCCACACACCTCAACTACGTGGAGTCACGAAGTGTGGCACGTAAGCCAAAAGGTGTATAAAATTACAAAAAAAAATGAGTTTAGGGGGGTAATAGGACCTTAGTTTAGTTAAGGTGTATCTCTGAGATTTCGTTCGTAGTCTAGCGGGGTACTTGTGCCTTATCCCTAATAAGTACTAATTAGTACTTCTTTCGTCTTATTTTATGTGGTAACATTGATATTTTGAGAGTAGATCAAATTTTATTCAGTACTAGAAAATATGAAATTAACTATGGAATTTGTCACTAAATAGCTCCTAGATAATTGAATTTATATATAATTTATCAGCTAAATGGGATTAGCATGAGATTTTTGTTGTTTATCTAGGAAATATTTTTCGTCGCTAATTTCTTGTTTTCTTGTAGTGATTTTTATTGAAATTTCTTTATATTCCCTCCATCCCAATTTATTTGAGTTAGTTTGACTTGGTACAACGCTTAAGAAAAAGAAACTTTTGAAACTCTGTTTTCTGTTAAACCGAACCACCATATATTTTTGGCATAATAGATAAATATGACCTTTAACTTGGCTTCATCTTGCATTTATGTTTTTCAACTTTGGATGTGTACAAATAGACATTTAAATTTGTATAAAGTTGAAGAAGTAGACATATGTGTCCTATGTGGCGTCATACGTGATCAATTTGTGTCCTACATGACGTCCTATGTGCATTATGTCACGTAGGATGCACGTGTCTACTTGTTCAATTTTATACAAATTTAAGTGTATATTTGTACAAATCCAAAATTAAAGAGTATAAATATCAGTTGAAGTCAAGTTAAAGGACATGCCTATAGTTTGAGATGGAAAGAATAACTTACTTGTATAACATATACTGTACTCTATTAAAACACACTAATAGTGTAAAAAAATCATTACATGATCTATGCATATAAATTTAAATTCATCATAAAAGCCTATTTTAGTTAATTTATATACTTAAACTTTGGACATGCACAAATAACATTTAAACTTATATAAAATTGAATAAGTAGACACACATATTCTATATAGTGTCCTACATGACAATTTATGTGTGGCGCCATAGAGGATGCCACGTAGGACGCGTGTGTTGTTCAACTTTATATAAGTTTAATTGTCGAGTTATGCATTGGAGGGCATAGATGTCAGCCGAGAGGAGAAGTTAAATGGCATGTTTTATGTGTTATGCCTTTTAGTTATGTTTCATATTCTTCAACTGATTCTTCAGTATAATTTATGAAACATGGTTTTTTTTCCTCCAAACAGATCATTGAGTTCTGGTTTGTCAAACATAAAAGATTTTGCAGAAGCAAAAGTAGCTAATGAACGCGTAATGGAAATAATAAAGAGGGTACCCAAGATTGATTCGGAAAACATGGAAGGCCAAACATTGGACAAAATGACAGGGGAAATCGAATTCAAACACATTGAATTCGCGTATCCATCAAGGCCCGAAAGCATAGTTCTAAAAGATTTTAATCTAAAAATCCCGAGAGGGAAAACAGTGGCATTAGTGGGAGGAAGTGGATCGGGCAAGTCTACGGTAATAGCACTGCTTCAGAGATTTTATGATCCGCTGGCTGGAGAGATTCTTCTCGATGGAGTCGTCATTAATAGGCTGCAGCCCAAGTGGCTGAGGTCTCAGATGGGTCTGGTGAGCCAAGAGCCTGCACTTTTTGCAACCACAATTAAAGAAAATATACTCTTTGGCAAAGAGGATGCATCTATGGAACAAGTTATTGAGGCTGCAAAAGCTTCTAATGCTCATAACTTCATATGTCAATTGCCTCAGGGATATTACACCAAGGTATGTTAGAACAACGCCTCTTCTTTTTTTCTTTTATCCTAAGTATTTAGACACATGGGGTGTGTTTGGTTTGAAGGATAATGTTTTTTTATAGAAAATTAGGCAACGTGCCATTTAACTTGACTTCAGTTGTCATCTATTCATCCAACTTTGAATGTGTATAAGTAAACATTTAAACTTGTATAAAGTTGATCAAGTAAATACTCGCGTTCTACAAATCAGTTCGAGTGTATCTCATGAGAAATGTCATGTAGGATGCGTGTATCCACTTGTTGAACTTTATACAAGTTTAAGTGTCTACTAGTGTACACACCCAAAGTTGGAAGGCACCAGCTGAGTCAAGTTAAATGACATGTTTATGTATTATGTCTTTTTTTAAAAGTAAATACTGCTGAATATGTTGAGGGTGAATTAAAAATCCTTTAGTCAACTTCCTGGATTGAGCAGTCGACTCACCTGCAAGTTAGTATCACAGTATAAAATAAAGATAATGACGGGAAGTAAATTGACACGGGATATTTTATACTGGTTCGGAACACCGGTGTGGTGCCTACTTCCAGTCCCCTTGGGTTTCCTTAAGAGCAGTTGTGAACTTGAGAAGTTACAAAGAGTTCCAACTAAGTTTCCTGCCTGATATGCAAATCAGATCTTCTATTTGACACAACCTCTACCTGTATAATCTACACTCAAATCTTTCTTTTTCTTTTCTTTTTCAGTTGTATACTCTCGAGAATACAATGTTTTTATGAAAGATAACAAAAGACAATCGTACAAGTTCAAGTGAAGTGCATGTTTCACACCTAAGTCTTAGGAGGTTTATATATGCGTAGACTTGTGCTCTTGTAAGGAAAACCCCAAGGGTGTTTGTCTCAATCAAGGATATTGAGGGATTCCTTGATTGAGGCGATTTGCTGATCCATGTCCATATTAGATATGTGCATGGTAAATCGTTTTTCTTCCTTCTTGGCTTGACTAGCTTGATTCTATTCTTGGCTGGATAGCTGATCTCGAATCTTGGCTTGATTTGACTTTCTTCCTTCTCTTGGTAGCTTCATTCTATTCTTGGTTTGATTGCTGATCTCTTGATTTCGTCCTGTCAATCAAGATATGCTTGATTGAGCTGCTGCTAGATTGGGGCCATCTGGTATTGATTCTGAATCCCTTTGATTAAGTCTTTCCTTTCTATCATTGCTGTAGAGATCAGAACATATCTCTTTCCATCTTGGTGTTGTCTGCTTGGATCATTTCCTTTTTGATTCCTTTGCAATTAATCTGCTTGGATCATTTGCTTTTGATTTCGTTGCCTGCGAGAATTGTGAGTAATGTGTTAAGTATCGTTTATCAAAATCAACTAACTCTAAGGAGTTAACAATCCTTCCTAGGACTTCACTAAATTAATACTTAAATTAGTTTATGCACTATCGGCGTAAAACAAAAATATTTATACGATCAAGTCACTTTTGGAAAAAATAATAATTTGGAAGAACATGTATGCAGGTGGGGGAGAGAGGTATACAAATGTCTGGGGGGCAGAAACAGAGAATAGCCATAGCAAGAGCTATTATCAAGTCACCAAGAATACTCCTCCTAGATGAGGCAACCAGTGCACTTGACACTGCATCAGAAATAGTGGTGCAAGAAGCTCTAGACAATGCCTCCATTGGCCGTACCACAATCATCGTAGCACACCGCCTTTCCACTATCCGTAACGCTGACCTTATCGCCTTGGTTCAAAATGGTCAGGTCAAGGAAATTGGCTCACACAATGAGCTAATTAAAAATCAAGAAAACAGACTATACGCTTCCTTAGTCCGTCTACAACAAACTGAAAAACCTGCTGGAGCGACTATTGTTTCTGCACAACAATCTGCAAATCGTGATGATTCAAAACATACAAGTATCCCTTGCTTCTCGATTGAAGCAAAATCGACCGTGAAAAATGCTGCAGTTCCGAGTACTTCAGGGGAAGGATCATTTAAAAGGCTTTTGGCTATGAATTTGCCAGAATGGAAGCAAGCAACTTTAGGATGTATTGGAGCAATCTTAGTTGGTGGAGTTCAACCAGTATATTCTTTTGTAATGGGGGCAATGATATCAGTGTATTTCTCGCCTAGTCATGACGAGATTAAGAAAAAGACCAAGATATATACTTTGGCTTTCCTGGGGATGACATTTATTACCCTTGTTCTCAATGTACTTCAGCATTATAACTTCGCGGTCATGGGAGAGCGATTGAACAAAAGGGTCAGAGAGAGGATGTTATCCAAGATTCTTACTTTCGAAGTTGGATGGTATGACAAGGAACAGAATTCCACTGCTGCAATATGCTCTAGACTTGCCGATGAAGCCAGTGTGGTACGATTTCTACTCTTTTAGATTCATTTTAAACAATGGTGTTTGGCTAATCAGATTGTTTCAGAACGAGAGACATTTATCTCCGACTTGTGGTCTTAGACTTTCATGACATTTATGTGACTCTAAGATCATTTCATTGGCTATTAATGAAAAAACAAAGGGAAAAGAGCCTCATAGACTCCTCAAATTTGCGATTTAGAGTTGATATATATCCCCGTTATAAAAGTGGCTCACATATACCTTTATTGTTGCACAAATGGGTATATGTGAGCCACTTTTATAATGAGGGATATATCATCACTAAATCAAAAAGTTGAGGGTTATATCAGACCCTTTCCCCAAACAAAAATTGAAGTTGATAGAGTTACCAACTATATAAAGTGTCGTTCTTTTTTACGAAACTAAGTGTGAAATAAGTAATGACAACATGTTTTGTTTTTATAATTGGCAGGTGAGGTCTTTGGTTGGGGATAGGATGTCATTATTCATTCAGACAATTGCGGGGATGACCATAGCTTGCATGGTTGGCCTAGTAATCGCGTGGAGAATGTCATTGGTTTTGTTCACGGTTCAACCTGTCATCATTCTCTGCCTCTATTGCAAGCGGGTGTTATTGAAAAGCATGTCGGAAAAATCCATCAAGGCTCAAGAAGAAAGCAGCAAGTTAGCAGCTGAAGCAGTTACTAATCTACGAACTGTAACTGCCTTCTCCTCCCAAGCCCGAATTCTTCAAATGCTAAAGGAAGCCCAAGAAGGCCCTCTACGTGAAAGTATACGACAGTCATGGTTCGCGGGAATCGTACTTGGCACTACCAACAGTCTCCAGTCATGTACATGGGCTCTATTTTTCTGGTATGGTGGCTATCTCATGGCAGAAGGCAATATTGGAGCTCAAGCCCTATTCCAAACCTTTGTGCTTTTAAGTAGCAATGGGCTTGTCATCGCGGATTTAGGAACAATGACTAAGGATCTCGCCAGAGGTACGGATGCTGTTAGCTCAGTCTTTGCAACATTGGATCGATATTCCTTAATCGAGCCAGAGGATTCAGATGGTTACAAGCCAAGGAAAATAACAGGCCATATCGAGATGTGTGAGGTGGATTTCGCGTACCCTGCCAGGCCTAGTGTGATCATCTTCAAGGGGTTCTCAATAACAATCGATGCAGGAAAATCAACAGCATTGGTAGGACAAAGTGGTTCGGGGAAGTCCACGATAATTGGTTTAATAGAAAGATTCTACGACCCTTTAAGTGGTGTAATAAATATAGATGGACGTGACATAAGATCATACCACTTGAAGTCATTGAGGAAGCACATAGCACTTGTAAGCCAAGAACCAACATTATTTTCTGGAACCATAAGGGAAAACATAGCATATGGAGTACTAGCATCAGAAGAAGTGGATGAATCAGAGATAATTGAAGCCGCGAAGGCAGCAAATGTCCATAGTTTCGTCTCAGCATTAAAAGACGGATATGACACATGGTGTGGGGATAGGGGACTGCAGTTATCAGGAGGCCAAAAACAGAGAATCGCAATAGCTCGTGCAATATTAAAAAATCCAGGGGTATTATTATTAGACGAGGCAACGAGTGCATTGGACAGTCAATCGGAGAAATTAGTACAAGATGCACTTGAACGAGTGATGGTTAGGCGGACGAGCGTGGTTGTGGCACATAGGCTATGTACTATACAAAATTGTGATGCAATTGTTGTGTTAGACAAAGGCAAAGTTGTGGAGAAGGGGACTCACTCTTCTTTGTTAGCTAATAGGCCTTGTGGAGTTTACTACTCTCTGGTTAGATCAGTTAATCATCATCCTTAATTACACTACTAGAAACAAATATTCTTCCAACTGCGAATCAGTGGGAAATTTATGCTATAGAATATGATTTTTTCATTCAATTCCCACCAAATTAGCTCATTAGGAAATGAATTCTCACTGAAATAGTGGGAAACTTCCTAATTTTTCTATATGAAAACATTATTATTTTTTTCTCACTAACTCAATCAACATATCTGTCGAAATAGTCATTGAGCATTTTTTCAGGAGAAAAATAGTGATTTTTTAGCCGTGTTAGTTCTTCACTATATATGACTAAAACTTGGGGAGTTTCTCAAACTGACAACCATCACTATGAGACTCATGATGGTACAACGTCTTGCCCATGTTGCCAAAGTCATCCAATACTTTGTCAGGGTAAAGGATGAACTTAACTTATCAGCCTCTACGAAGATCGTCCTGACTAGGATCTGCATCAAGAAGATAACAGAAGTAGGGGTGAGTACACCACATGTACCCAGTAGGTTAAACCGACTAAGTTGTCACGCCCCGAGCCTACACCCTGGGCGGGACCGGCACTCGGAGACCATTGCTGGCCCCAAGCGAACCCTTGGCCTGGCTTTCTTAACTCAGCAGAAACCTGACTCAACAGAATAACTCAATGCCATGCAAAGACATAAACAACTTAACTGATAAAATATGGCCCAAAGGGGCAACTCGAGTCTCAAAATAGAATATTTACATATATATACATACACATGGATGAGAGACTCTAAACTAACTGACTGTCTGACTGTCTATGAAGCCTCTAATATACTGAGATGGATGTGGGGACAG